GGCTGTCCTAGTTTAAAACTGAACCTCAGGCCCACGCCCCACACACACACAGGCCTGCCTCACTTCCTAACCCCATGGTCATATCAGAGAGCGATTCAGTTGTCACTGCTCTAAGATTGAAGAATTCCCTTGAACTCCGTTCTCATCCAATGGCTGTGCCTTCCACATGCTTTGAAGTGCTCTGGACAACGTTGTCAATACCGGTGTTGGAGTTCAGAATTCGTTCTGGTGTCCCTCTCTCCCCACAGTAGTGCCTCTCTGATGAAAGGGCCTGTTCCCTCTGACCTTTCCCTTCCTTTCCTGACAGTTATCCTTTCTGATTCAAAATCATACTGGCCGGTTTAAAACAAGAAGCGAAAAAGAGGGGTGGGGGGCCAGGAAAAATAAATAGAAAACTCGGTGTGTAAGTAAGCATAGCGAGACCCATAAGCACATCAATGAACCTCACCACTGAAACAAATCATGCCCCCAGCCTTGGGTACCATGGTGGGGAGAGTGGGGTACAACGATATCAAGATAGGAGAGTAAATTGAAGCTGCATATATTGCTAGCCCCAGATGGTTTTATGTGAGCTAAACTCACTCACATTGCCCTCTCTGAAGAATAAGGCTTACAAGATACTGGCCATGTGTCACTTCCTCCCACTCAGTCTCACAAGCAGTAATAGATCATACTACATCATTACCCATCCCTGGGTTATAACAATACTCATTATGGAACAAAAACTCTCCCTAAGGGACAGACAAAAAGAATTCTCATTTTCCTGCCTGGGATTTCCAATCTAGTTGTTACCTCAATGAAAATTAAGTGTCCCTTAAACCTCTACCACTGAAGTGTCCCTTAAACCTCTACCATTGTAAAAATGATTGTTCAGGGAATTGGTGGGGAGTGGGGGTTTGGGGAAGGAAACAGGAAGGAAACAAAACTTCATTCCTCTAAAATATGCATTTATAAAGCGCCGATCACAAATCCCTCCGAGCCCTTTCTACTATTTCTTTTTCAGCCCCAAACATAGTGTAACCCAATCAAAGTTAATTAAAGAGATGCAGGGGTGGGAGAATATGTTTGGAATTTGGATCATGATTAAAAGACATTGCTACGCAAATATATGAAAGGAGAATATTCTACAAACTGTCAGCAGAATAAGCCCTGAAGGCAAATACTGAGTATTTAATAAGCCCAGAATTATTTCAAAAGGCATTCAACTGTGGAATTCAGCTGACATGAACAGAGAGAGAGAGACGTTCACAGTCTAGAAGTTCACCCAAAAAATTACCAGTAGGAAAAGCACATCAAGTCCAGGGTTGGCCTTCCTGGGTCTGTTCCAAATTTGCACTCTATTGGGTCTGAGGAGTATCTTAGTTGAGGAACAGAACTGACTTTCTTGATACCAGTATAAAAATGTGAATGATCTCTCCCAGTAGTCTAGCTCCTGTAGGAATAGATTTATTCCTCTATGACTTCGGGGAACCTGTTGCAATTTGCAGGAGATCTGATTCTCTAAGTTTCTGACTTCCTAGTTACAGCACGTTTGGTAATGTGGAGGGTCAACAAAAACAAGGGAAAGCGTCAATGAGATGGATCAGGATAACAATGGACTCGAACATCCCAGTAATCATGAAGATGGCACAAGGAGGACCAGGCAATGCTGTGTTCTGTTTGACTCACACTTGAAGCCATCAAGAGTCGAAATCGACTCAGCAACAACTAACCCCACCACCCAACTTGCAACAGAGCTTGCTTTTCTTTTTAAAACTTACTAAACTTGCCAAAGCTTCAGAGTCTTCCCCTTCATCTTGGTGGCAGTGTGCTGAATGTGGCATGCAAGTCTCTGCTCATTCTCTTTGTTGACTCCCAAAGGATTGAGCGTAGTGTTCGGTGAGTGGCTCGTGAGATCGCACGCTTGTAGCACACTTTCACTCAGCCTGTCCCTCTCTCCAACTTAAATCTTCACCGTGACGACGAGCCTCTGATGCCGTCAGATTCCCAATTTCACAGTTTGGGATATTGACTCTTGAGATCCTAGAACTTGTTCCCAAACCACAGACCTACCACAAATTCCCATTTGCTATCAAATAAAAGTCTAGGGAGTGGAGAAATCGATTTCTTTTCCCAAAAATGAAAAGCCAGGGTACCCCTTGGTTCAACCTTAGCCCACATGTTCTGGAGAAGAAAGGAATATTCAGGGGCCATCATTATTTGACCTGCCTCAATCTGAAAAGCCATTTAAAAAACATCCGGACAAGGTTTTTGTTCCTCTAAAACTGATCGAGAGATTTTATGGAGACAGAAGGCCCAGTGTTTGGACACTGGTTTCCTTTGAGAGCTCTGCCACCCATAGATGACTTTAGAGGCATTCAGGGAAAGTTCAAATGAATGTGTAACTTTTATCGATGTTAAGGATGAATCCATGAGGAACATCAGGATTAAGCAAAGTAAACCATAAAGCTGAATCTGAATAGGCACCTCCTGCCAACGAATGAGCTCATCCGAAAGCAGTTTATTAAGTTGGGTTTATAAACTGTCATTAGATGAGTTCATTCTTTGCCAAGAAAATAATTGTGTGTCTGTATGTGAGATGTATGGAGAGAGACTGTGTGTCATAGATAATGATAGCATGGCTTCAGCAACAGAATAGCTTTGAGATGCTTAAAAAGACATGCTTGTTAGCACAGATGCGCATGACTTTGCCATACACTCAATAGTTTCATGAGGTCTGAAAACAGGGGAAGGTGGCACACTGGGTAAGTGTTTGCCTACTAAAGGTTATCGGTTCAAACCCACAGGAGAAAAAGACCTGAAGCTTTATTCCCACAAAGATTCCAGCCTAGGAAAACCGTATGGGGCATTTCTACACTGTGCTATTGGGTTGCTAGCCGTAGGAATTGAATCAACTAGACAGCACACAACATCATCAAATACAGGAGACGTGGGAAAAGACTACACCACAAGCTCCTTGTAAAGAAAGTAGTGTCATACAGCCCTTTCAAGAGCACCATTGAAAGCACGGAGGGAGGCAGGAGTTGAGGCAAACCTACTTCATGGGTCTGACACCTTTTAAATGTATTATTGGATGTGACACTTAGAGCAACACACACCTTGAGTGATTTTCATGTTGCCCAGGGCTGTCCTAGTTTAAAACTGAACCTCAGGCCCAGCACATAAGGACACTCAGTCACCTTAGCTAGTTGTTGGGTGCTGTGGAATTGATGCCAACCCATAATGACCTCACATGTGTCAAAGGAGAACTGCTCCGTGCGGTTTTCTTGACTGTGATCTTGATACTAACAGGTTGCCAGGTCTTTCTCCCCAAGAGCTGCTGTGTGAGTTTGAACTGTCCACTTTTTAATTAGCAGCCATGTGCTTAACCAGGGCACCTTCACGCGAACTAATGCCGCGCTGAGTCTTTCCCTATTTGACCAGAGGCGGCTGCCATTTGGAGAGGTGAATGAGTCAACGAAAGGCTTTTATCAGTTGTAAGTGGTGTATTCAGTATTAGAACCCAAACCATCTAGCTGCTATTATAACTTACTTCTCAAGAAACCAGGCTGTAATTGTGTGTAAAAGCCACAGGGATGATATCAGAGACTTATTTTTCCTACAGCTTAACCATTCCCTTTGTAACTTCATTATTATGCTCGTTACCCCCCTCTGCCCGCCCCCTCTTCCCTTTTAATAGATAAGTAATTGTTGGAGATACTATGTACGGACCAGTCAGCTCTGACTCATCGTGACCTCTTTGTGCCACGGAATGAAACCCTGCCCAGTCCTGCACGGCCCTCACAATTGTTATGTTTCAGCCCATTGTTCTAGCCCCCGTGTCAATCCAATCCATGTCATTGAGGGTCTTCTTTGTCATTCTCCCTCTAGTTTGCCAAGCAAGATGGCCTTTCCCAGGAATTTGTCCCTCCTGATAACATGTCCCAAGTAAGATTATACAGAGGGGGAAAATCAACCTTGTCTTTCAGATTATTGCAAGCTCCATGATCACTGAATGTAGATTGATGAGAATAATGCTAACTGCTTTCCAAGTCCATTTGATGGTGATTCAGTCATGAACTTCACCAGTGGTCTATTCATTCTCACCCTAAAAGAAACACAACACACACTGCTACCCTCACCTTGCCCCATTTATCTCAGAGAAGGTTCTTGGATGTTTCCCCCCTGTTTGTGTGGGGTAAGCAGTGCGGGAAAAGGAGTTGGGAATGTAAAACTGGAGGAAACAAAATGATTAGGCCTTGCGTTCTCTCCATATGCTAGTCTTTATCATTTCTTCTTGATAATACAAAGAAGTGACTGTGTGTCCGAGCAAACCTCTCTCATTACTGTCCTGCCTGTGCTGAGCACAACTGAATCCATATGTCTTTAAAATGCCTTTCCATTGCCATGGCTTCTTTCAAAATACTGATCTTCATGCAAATGTGGCCCACTAAACTACTAATGCTCATTTGCTCTTTCCCAACAGGCATCACAGTTGATAGGCATGGCTTCATTTACTTTGTGGATGGGACTATGATTCGGAAAGTTGATGAGAATGCCGTGATCACAACTGTAATCGGCTCAAATGGACTGACATCCACACAGCCACTGAGCTGTGACTCAGGGATGGACATCACTCAGGTAAGCGCCACTGATTCTCAAACGCTATCGCCATTTGGCATCATGGAAATGGATAGCAATTTTCTCATACAGAAATTAGGTAGAAAGGAGGGCTGGTGGACCTGCTGTAACAGCAGATAGCAGAAGTTTCTCTTCATGTAAGTTACTTTTTTCTCTCTCTCTTCCAAAAATAAATAAATAAATAAACAAACCTCCGTTGGAAGAAAATGGTGAGGTAGAATGAGAGTCCTGCAAGGGGGGTGGGGTGGTGTTGGCCTCCCAGATTGGAATCAATTCAAGGGTAAGGCCAATTTCATTCATTGAGTAGTTCTTAAGTTATTTTTTTTTTTCAAAAAGAAAACGAGAACTCAAGTTTGGAAAAGTACTGATTGCTAAAGGTCTTTGGAGAGCTTGTCTAATGAATCTGTGAGCATAGCTTGTTATTCATGTATATGTAAATTTCTCCTGTTAGTCTGTTTGAAAAGTTTTCGCAAGTAAAAGTCACATTCCCTCTGAGATCTGTTTTACATTTATTTAGGAAACCTTTTAATTAATTAATTTTTGCCAGTGAGAATAAAAGGGGAAAGTCAGTGTAGCTCGCATCTGAATCCAAACTTCTGATTTGACCACAGTTCTATGCGATCAGGATTGGACGTAGAGAGAAACCATAGCACATACAGCAGGCCCGGGTCCCTGGCGATGCCTTTCTTTCCTCTGCCCATACAAGAGCCTGGTGTGTGAAGTGAGGGAAATAGAGTAGCCAGCCCTCAAAAGGGACTTTCAAGCTCCTGAGTCAGTGAGCCTAATGAAGTAGATTAATAATCTTTACAACATAAGCAGAGTAGCAGTTGAGGGAGTGGGGAGTGCATCTGAGAGAATGCCTTTGGCTGCAAGTAATAAAACGATGGTCGAAGTATGGTTTAAAAGGTAACATTTTACTATCTCAGATAATGAGATGACCGAAGCAGACAAAGATCCCAGCAGATTTCCTGTGTCACATTGGCCAAAGTCACATGCCTTAGCCAGTCACTGGCAAAAGGAAAATAGGGATTCCATAATGACTCGAGGGCAATGGGTTTTTACAATGGGTTTGGACCAGACAGAATTCAACCCATGAGCTGGGCCACCTGCCCTGGGCATATCACTTCCTGATTGTTGATTCAAAATCAGGATTCCTTTAGAAAAGATTAAAAGACTGCTGTTTGGTTGGCCACCAGTGGTATTCTTCACAGTCCCTGTTGTTCGTGGTAATGGTTAGACAACGTGATAGATGCAACCGGTGTCATTGAATTGTACGCGTGAAAAAATATTGCATTGGGAAATGTTGTTATATCTATACATATAAACATTTACAGTAATTTTAAAGACAGTATTGCTTCCTTCTCCATACTGCCTGGTATATTGGATAGCTAGAAAAGTCCAATGAAAAGTCCAGACCCCTGCTTTAGTCATGAGCGCCTGCTTCTGCTCTCTATGCGTGCTCATTTCTGTAAACACGAAAAATGTGCTCATTGGGTAGTTCTTCTTTTCCCTCTGCTTTTGTCTCACCCAACCAGCTCCGGAAATGGTCAAAGGTAATCAACAACTAACATAAAATGGGAAACTGTAAGGCCTGGGAAACTGACAAAATGAATGAACCATTCTTAGCAGGGAGTTGAATGGAACAAGTTTTAGAGCAGCATGGCATTCCATGATGCAAAATCCTGCAGAAGGAAGAAAAAGGGAATATTACTTAGGGCAATACGAAAGGGTGTGGATGTGTTTATATGGGGGAGGGGGAGGGAGAGAATGCATGCATATGATTCACTTGTGGGATATATTTAACTTAAAATAGGGCATTTAGGATCACAACCAGTCAACTCTAAACAACTCATCTGCTTCTGTGTGAGAAAGTTACACTGAAAAGAGAACTGTGTGTGTGTATGTGTGTGTGTGTCTAAATAGAGCAAACGTATGGCCCACAACACCGTGGTGGGGGGGGGCGGGAACCTTTGCATGTGGCACTTTCCAACTCATGATGACATTTGTTATTAGCTGTCCACCCCTTGGCCCCTGACACATGGTGACCCCAAGTACAGTAGAAGAACCATTGTGAGTATTTTGTTCTTTGACCCCCCCAAGTTTTGAGGTTTTGACCTGGCTCCTCTCTGAAGGCCTGAATATAGTTCTTCAGCATTACCTCTATGTCTGACCAGAGTAATTCTTCCTCTTGGTGAAAAAACAAAATAGTCGATTCTGGTAACAAAGCGACGACTTTGAAGTGTGATGTTGACAAATAATATTAAATATTTCACAGGTGAACAGGCTAATATTGTGTAAGGGAGCATGACCAGAAAAAAAAAAAGAACCATTGTGATCCACAGAGTTGTCATTGACTCTTTTTCAGTAGTCGATCAGTAGGCCTTCTGCCTAGTCTGTTGTTCGTCTCTGTCTGGATGCTCCTCCCACACCTGTTCAGCATCAGAGAAAGCCACAAGCCTCCAATCAGAGTGGTGATGGCAATGCATGAGGAGTGTGGCTGGGAATGGGACCAGCGTGAAAGGTGATCATTTTACAAATGCGACCCCATCCTATTCAAGTGGGAATGTATAGTGCAGCCTTCTTAAGAAGAGCCTTGGTAACTACGACACAAAATCACATTTTTACCATAGCATGCCATCCTAAGCCTCTGGTTCCCTGAAGTCCCCCTGCCTGCTTATGACATAAATTCACCTTGTGAACCAGAAGTTTCTTTGAACTGCCCTGTGACAAATGGCTGGAAGTGTTAGAAGCCCATATGACTGACTATGTATGAAAGCAGGTTTCATGTGCAAATTATTTGATAGCTGTCCCCACCGCTGTCCACTATCTCCTGTTCTGTGCTTGAGGTCCTTCAAAGAATAACTAGAATTTTCACCTGTGGTGACTGACCTTTGTGTTAGTGCCCAGGTGATGACCCCACCCCCACATGTTATGAGGAGCTTTCTTTCCATGATCCCATTCCCCCACTGTAGAATTCACTCTTCTGGTTCAAATCCCATTCTGCACCTTATTCACATCTCACCGACCTCCATGAGGACCTTCCCCGAGGGTTCCAGTCCTCATTGTTGTCTCATTCCCTTACCGAGATTTAGTGTCAACACATATCATATGCGATGTACAATTTGTTCTATGTTGGCACACGGTGTGCTCCACTAGCATCCCATAGAATGTACATAGTACGTGCAAGTAAGTCAACCTAGATATATCCCTGCCCAAAGGAAACTATGACTTGGTGCAGAGAACACATGAGGGAAGAAGTAAGGTGAAGCCAAAGAGCCAACTAAGCATGAGACAGTGTCAGTTTTATTCAGTGAACAATGAGAAGACATTAATAGCATTAAGGTAAATGCATTTCAAAAATATTACTAACCATGGAAATCAATTTTTAAAAGATGATTCTGGCTGTAATATGGCAAATCAATAGAGAGAAACACTACATTTAGGCACTTGATGTGACAGGGGCAAAACGGTACCATAAACATAGTTATTCCTTCTCAACAGATGGGGACAAATTAAATTGCTTTCCAATGCTTGTTGGTAGGCTCAGCGGTTATTTCTTTGGGCTACAATCCTGTGATGAGCTGTCCATAAAGCTGCTCAGCTCTGTGCAGGTTACATACATAGGCAAGCAAGGGTAAAGATTGGAGGTAAAATGAAAGCATGTGTTGACTGACTCCGTTTCGGAATTAAGGATGTATGTGGTACCATTCCCTGAGGTCATGAATACAGGAGGACGAGAAATAGATTTCAGTGATTGTGGAATGATCACACTCAGACATGTTGAGCTTGAGGCGCTTGTGTGGCATGCAGGTCAAGATATCTGGCAGGCAATTGGATATCGGTCTAATGCTTGATCTGAAATAGAGGATAGATTTGGGGTGGTCAGTGTACACGTGGTCATGGCACATAGAAGAACAGATGAGATCTCCCTGGGAGAGTACATAGAGCAACAAGAGAAGAAGGCTTAAGACCAAACCCTGAGAAGGCTGAAGAATGGAATCCCCCAAAGGATCTCCCTTTTGACCCATTTTAAAGTTGTTCTCCTTTTTTAAATATTTGCTGCTTTCTTATTGATTGAGGTTTTTCTCCATTTTATTTTGTTATTGTTGTTGCGCTTTTTTGTTTCCTTGGTTTTGTATGTTTTTCAGTATATGGAATCCAACATGAGTGAATCTATAGACAGTAAGTGGATTAATGATTTCTTAGGGGTATGGCAGGGGAGCTTGGGAGGAAATGGGGACCAAATAACAAGGAGTAGAAGAAAAAAAATGTCTAGAATTGATTGTGGTAATGATTGTATAACTCTTCTTGATATGATTGAACTATTGAATTGCATATGTGGATAATGTCCTTATAAAACTATTTTTAAATAAAATCCAGCAAACAGAATTGTTTTTTAAAGACAGTTTCTCAAGAAGCCATTTGATTTTACAGCCATCATGACTCTGATAAGTCGTACCTTTGGTGGAGTGCGAATTAATGGGAGTAGTAAAGCGGGGGTGAAGAAATAGACAAAGTGAATGCTCTGGATACCTTTGCTTGTGACAGGGAGGTTTGGGCACTGGAGCCAATCAGCTTCCATGTCTGGGCGAAGGAGCACCCTAGTGTGGCCCAGGTGGTCAGCTGTTTGAGAATAGTGAATAAAATCTGGAGGGTGACAGGGCATTGACTGGGAGGACGCATGTACACAGCACAGCTTCTCCAGGGCTCAGCCCCTATGGCCACCGCTTCTCCTGTCTGTTTAGACAACCGTGCTAGATGGGGGACCTATAAATCCCATGGCTGTACTTAAGGACATGGACTGGCTTGAGCTCGAGAGGAGAGAGCTGAATGGGGAGCTTCATAACACTCACCACGAGCAAAGTCCCAGTTGTTTATAGTAGTACTTACAGTGATCCCTCTGAGCTTACACAGGTCTCAGTTTCATACTGCAGTAAATCAAAATATATTGATGAGTGAAGGCAGAGACGAAGGTCAAAAAAAAATCCCGGTTCCTGCTG